TACTTTATTCAGAAACTATTGCAATAAGAGAAAAGAGACCTCAGTGCAGAGGAAACGTGAGGCTTTATAGTCAAGGAACAGTATAGAAGCAGGTAGATAGAATATTACCAAGAGGAAATATTCAGGGTAAGGGAGATTTTTGCTAGGCTGACATTAAGAGAATTTTGCTGAAAGTAGGCCAGAGTGTTTAAGTATCTACTGGGCTTTGGGAGTGAGGAATTTAAGGCACTAGGAGTGACTAGCGATTGAGGGTGGGAGGCTCTCAATGAGCATGGCAAGGCACACTGGACAAGGATGCGAAGCTCAAGGCCCGGAGAGCCCGAATGAGCCCAGTCAGTATTGGGTAGAACAGAGCCTTTGCCAACCCCGACTTGTGTTTCTGTCCCCAGCCCCATGAGGCTTTTCCTTCTCCTTTTCCCTTTTCTAGTGCCCTTTCTTGTTTCACTCAACACTGTTTCAGCAGCTGAGCGGAAACAAAGATCAAATTGAACTCAGCACTGTCTGGGTGCGGGGTATGTCTGCAGCACACCTTATGGTGTTTCTTTCGTCTGGCATCACAGTCAAAGCTGCTCATTTATCTAAAACCATAGAATTATAGCCATATATATATATATGTATATACATATATATGTACATTTAGTAGTTATTTACTAAGGAAGTGCTAAAGGAGATTAATATGATAACAACTATCCTGTCTTAGGGAGAGATGCAAATATTTTTCTGCTTTTAAAATTTGTATAATATAGTCATTAAATACATTTTTGTATAGTTTTTAAGATTTGCCCATTTTAGGGACTGCAGGCTCGTGGGTAAAGCCGCAACCTGCAGTGCCAGCATCCCATATGGGTGCCAGTTCAGGTCCTGGCTGCTCCACTTTCCATTCAGTTCTCTGCTATGGCCTGGGAAGACAGTGGAAGATGGCCCAGGTCCTTAGACCCCTGCACCTGTGTGGGAATCCTGGAAGAAGCTCCTGGATCCTGGCTTTGGAACAGCACACCTCTGGCCTTTGTGGCCATCTAGGGAATAAACCAGCAGACGGAAGACTCTCACTCTCGCCCTCGCTCTTGCTTTTTCTGCCTCTGCCCCTCTGTAACTCTGCCTTTCAAATATATAAATAAATCTTAAAAAAAACCTAGAAAATAGAGAGAGGTTTATGACATATAAGTAATTTTATATCATTTTATATATTTAAATATAAGTGGTCTAAATAGTTGTGCTGTTTCAGAAGGAGAATCTTAATTTCTTCTTGTTATTTTGAAGTGTGCAACTATCAGAATAATTTAAAAGCATATTTTAGAAGTCCTATTAAGACTATTTGTCATTAGCTAAAATAACAGCATACAGTAACTTCTCTTTCTTGACTACCTCTTTGCACATCTGTCTGCTACCTTTGAGAAAGGCATATTAACAACTTGCCCTGTGAAGCAGATTTTGCTGATGAATTGCTGCCAATTGGGTATTAAGGGGAATTGGGAACACATGTTTTGTTTTAAAAATCTCTAACAATTTGGATGGGTTGCCTTTGGACTGGACTAATTGACACTCAATCATTGTCATGCTGCCTCGCCTGTGTGTGATAATCATTTTGGAGACAATGGTTTGCAAGTTGCACTTCATGACTTTGGATCTGACTAGCAGTATTGAAGTAAGTGCTGCCATCTGACCCATTTCACAGTGGATTAGGAAATGCAGCTCTTACAGAAAACCTCCTAACTGTACTAATTTATATTCATCTGATAACCCATTGAGGGGAAAATGGGAATGAGCTGGCAGGTGGCCTTTCAGATATAAAGGGCACATGGCAAACTGGTTGCTTGTTGCTTACTCACTACGGAATACTAGATAACAAGAATATGAATAGTTCTGGAATATTTGGTTTTTAATTCTGATTGACAGTCTATTCATAATCTAAAATTTATAATTTAAAAGTTGTAAATGATCAAGACTAATTTGTGCATATTTAATACATTTATGAACATAACATATGGTTTGTTCTTTTTTTTTTTTTTTTTTTTGACAGGCAGAGTGGACAGTGAGAGAGAGAGACAGAGAGAAAGGTCTTCCTTTTTGCCATTGGTTCACCCTCCAATGGCCGCCGCAGCCAGCACGCTGTGGCCGGTGCACCGTGCTGATCCAATGGCAGGAGCCAGGTGCTTCTCCTGGTTTCCCATGGGGTGCAGGGCCCAAGTACTTGGGCCATCCTCCACTGCACTCCCGGGCCACAGCAGAGAGCTGTCCTGGAAAAGGGGCAACTGGGACAGAATCCAGTGCCCCGACCGGGACTAGAACTCGGTGTGCCGGCGCCACAAGGTGGAGGATTAGCCTAGTGAGCCATGGCACCTGCCAATGGTTTGTTCTTAATAACTCATGTTAGAATTAGACCTATGATTACTGTGTTATCATGTATACAGTTTTAATGGGTTGTTTGGATTTGTTTCAGTTTACTGAATGAAACCAAGGCATGCATAAGATTTATTGTTTTTCCTAACACTAGTACAAAGTGACCAGAAAACAGCCTTCTGAAATGTGAGTTTATAAAGATACTCCAAAGACAACATCCAAATGAAAAAAAAAATAGTATTTAATGCTTAAAAATAAAAACAATTAAAAGTCTTCCTTATAACATATACATATTCATATAAATATATACATGTAAGTTAGAAAGATAGTTTTATATTTTATTAAGCATTTAATCTTTAGGATTATTGCTTACCAAAAACTTGGAAATATTTATTTTGTATTAATTCTTTAAATTGTACTCTATGATAAAGGAGAGATAAAATAGAAATTCTACAAATCATATTTAGGAATAACACTTTTATCTTGTGCTGTGTTGTTTTGCTAATTAATTTAAACTAATTCTGTATTTTAAGTAATGGTTGAAAATATCAGCACATTAATTTTGAAATGAAAAATTTTTAATTTACTACTAATACATAAGTAATAATTCTCTAGATCTTTTAAATGTATAATATAGCATTTATCAGTCAGTCTATTTCTGATAAATTGTGTTAGGAAAACACCAATTTTATATTTATTTTTAAAATTGTTTAATTAAAGTTTTTAAAAATGTTTATTTATTTGAAAGGCAGAGCTACAGAGGTAGAGACATACACACACACACACACACACACAGAGACAGAGAGAGAGACAGAGACAGAGACAGAGACAGAGAGAGAGGTCTTCCATCCACTGGTTCACTCCCCAAATGGCTACAATGGCCAGAGCTGAGCCAATCTGAAGCCAGGAGTCAGAAGACTCTTCTGGGTCTCACATGTGGGTGCAGGGGACCAAAGTCTTGCACCATCTTCAGCTGCTTTCCCAGGCCACAGCAGAGAGCTGGATCAGAAGTGGAGCACTAGGCCTTAGTACTGGCACCACCAATGTTATATTTAAATATTAAAGTAGTAAGCTTAATAACTGATGTACAACTATGAAACAAATAACAAAATCAGCTTCTAACATTACTAAGTATATATTTTCTGTTAACATTGGAGAATGTGTGTTACCGGAGAAATTGCAGGGTTCTTGTCTTTGCGCAAGAAAGAATTCAGGCGTGAGACAGAGAGTAGTGGGAGGTAAAATAGCAAGGTTTATTAGGGAAGGGACATCCATAAGGACGGATGGGCACCTTTCCAGACAGGACCTGGGAGAGAGTGCAGTTGCTCGGACTTGGGGGCGGGGGGCCCAAGGTTACATGGTTGAGTGGAGAGAGTACACCTGGCCAGACCAGGTGGGCGGCTCAGCAGAGAGGCAGAGGGCTGAGCGCACAGTCCAGTTGAGGCTGGGGGTTTTTAAGGAGATGGGTCTTTGTCTTCACACATCTTCTCCTGAAACAAAGGATTTTATGGCTGTAAATATTAAGAAGCTCCTATCTGAGTTTTCCCTTGAAGGTATAAGACAGGAGGAAGCCTAGCTGGCGCCATCCTGGGTTCAGAGGAAGGGTGAGCAGGACCCCCTAGAGAATGGGGATCTGGAGCAGGGTGTTTGAAATGCAGATACTCAGCTGCATCTGGGAGATTGTGGAAGATTTGTCAGGCAGAAGGGGCGGGGGATCTCCACCTGGCAGGTTATCAGGTAGAAGGGGGCAGGGCAGGATGTGAATACCAGGCTGCCCCTGAAACATTGTCAGCAGATGCATATGCTGGACATAGATGTCTTCTCTTTAGGCCTTTATGTCACACACACATAAGCTCATAACTGACTTCTTACCTAACATGTGCATGGAAAAAAAAGAGAGAAAGAAGCTGAAAAATTAAATTAGAACAATTTGAAAAATAAGAGGCAGTAATAACTGAAATTCTTTATATTTTACTGTCCCATAGCTCTACTGAATACCTAATTGCTTATTTCATTCAGTATTTCTAACGTCTATATAATATATCTCTTCCATATAGCAGCATAACTATTCAGAAATATAGAAAAAGCTTTATAGAAATTATTTACATTTTATGGAAAAGTAAATTGAAGTCTAGTTGCTGCAAAATTAAGTTGTTAAAGTAAATAATTTGAAGAACTAGAGTTTTAGCTCAGTTTGGGAAACTTCAAAGTCCAAGTTCCATTTTGATTTGCTGTCAATTAATTGATCACTAAGAAGCTATTGACTTCAATATGATTATACATGCTAAAGTATCCTATGATGGAGACAGGAATAAGAATCTTTGGATTGCCAAAGACTGTTACAGAAAATAAAAATAGATTTAGAAATATGCAAACTCTGACACTGATTTCTTAATATAAAATCCCAGACCAAGAGGCAGTGTATGTTTATGTTTCGCTTTTGAGGTAAATCTATTGATATTTTAGGAAATAACTGAAGTGTTTATTTCACAATATTTAAGTAATTTTGAATTTACTAATAAATAAGTTCATTTTTTCCCTAACTCATGGTTTTGATCAAATTATTTTGCTTACTCTCTGTAAGAAAAAGACAATATATGAATTGTAAGGATTTCAGATAATGGGTACTCAACTCATATTTGTTGAAAATTGCATGAATGGTGCTTACTTCAGCAACACACATACTGAAATTGACATGATACAGAAAGATCATCATGGTACCTGTGCAAAGATAGTGTGAAAATTTGTGAAGCATTCTGTATTCCTAAACTTTGTAGATGTCATATTGTTTGCTATTCAGTTATAAATATTGCTTCACTGAATTATACCATGTACATGACAATATTTCCTCTCTCCCCATATTGTGATCATTATTATGAATCTCACATTTTGTTATGTTAATATCCCTGTTTTCAAGACAAATAGTATATATGAGTATGTATATATCTGTATATGAAATGAATATGCGAAAATGCTGAAATTGTTAAATAATAATAAAAACACAATAAAAATAAAGTTGTACAAATAAATGAAAATACTTTTAAAGTGATATAGCTTATTATATCCATATCAATTAGTTAATAATAGATTTTGGAAACCCATCATGGAATCAATTATAATCCATTTTCTTTGCATTATCTGACTCTGGTATTATCTTTGCCAATTGTTTTAATTACCATGGCTGTTCAACCATCTTGCATATAAAACATTTGAATTTTCAGGCTTCTATGTTGCAAGACAATTTCAGATTGGGCACAGATTTTTAAATTGTAAAAAATGCAAGTACATTTCACACAATGTCATTTGGATAGTTTGATTATTGAGTACAAATTTACTGAAAGAAGAAAACAGTATAGCAACTAATTGAAGAGAGAGCTACTTAGATTTTACATACATTTTTAAAAATACATATTTCAGATTTGTATTAAATAGCACTTGTATAATTATTCAAATGGAATTTTTCATTGTTTAACCTAAAACTCTGAGAACCTTCAAGTGTGAGTTTGTATAGACTCTACTTTTTAAAATGATTTCTGTAGTATTAATGGATAGTATTTTACACAAGAATAGCAAGGCAATACAGTAGAATGAGTACTGGAGTTGGAAGCTCTCAGCTACAAAATGAATCTGTATAGTCTTGGGTAAAGTTTTTTTAAAAGATTGATGACCTGTTCTTTCCACTGGGATCTCACTCGCAGAGATCTTTTGCCAGAGTGTTGGCTTTCCATGCCTGAAATACTCTCATGAGCTTTTCAGCCAGCTCCGAATGCCTTTAGGGCTGATTCTGAGGCCAGAGTGCTATTTAGGACATCTGCCATTCTATGAGTCTGCTGAGTATCTCACTTCCCATGTTGGATCACTCTCCCCTTTATTTACTCCATCGGTTAGCACTAGCAGGTACTAGACTTGTCTATGTGTTCCCTTTGACTCCCAGTCCCTTCACCATGACCAACTGTGAACTGAAACTGATCACCTGGAACAGTGAGATGGCATTGGTACATGCCACCTCGATGGGATTGAATTGGAATCCCCTGGTATGCTTCCAACTCCACCACTTGGGGCAAGTCAGCCTGAGCATGTCCCAAAGTATACATCTCTTCCCTCTCCCATTCCCACCACCATGTTCAACAGGGATCACATTTCAGTTAATTTTCAACACTTAAGAATAACTGTGCATCAATTACAGATCTAAATCAGTCATATTAAGTAGAACAGATAAAAAAAACTACTAAGAGGGATAATGTATTAAGTTGTTCATTAACAGTCAGGGCTATGCTGATCAAGCCACCATTTCCCATAGTGTCCACCTCACTCCAACAGGTTTCCCTCTTGGTGTTCAGTCAGTCGTCACCGATCAGGGAGAACATATGGTATTTGTCCCTTTGGGACTGGCTTATTTCACTCAGCATGATGTGTTCCAGATTCCTCCATTTTGTTGCAAATGACTGGATTTCGTTGTTTCTTACTGCGGTATAGTATTCTAAACAGTACATATCCCATAATTTCTTTATCCAGTCTATCGTTGATGGGCATTTAGGTTGGTTCCAGGTCTTAGCTATTGTGAATTGAGCTGCAATAAACATTAGGGTGCAGACCGCTTTTTTGTTTGCCAATTTAAATTCCTTTGGGTAAATTCCAAGGAGTGGGATGGCTGGGTCGAACGGTAGGGTTATCTTCAGGTTTCTGAGGAATCTCCAGACTGACTTCCATAGTGGCTTGACCAGCTTGCATTCCCACCAACAGTGGGTTAGTGTCCCTTTTTCCCCACATCCTCGCCAGCATCTGTTGTTGGTAGATTTCTGCATGTGAGCCATTCTAACCGGGGTGAGGTGAAACCTCATTGTGGTTTTGATTTGCATTTCCCTGATTGCTAATGACCTTGAACATTTTTTCATGTGCCTGTTGGCCATTTGGATTTCCTCTTTTGAAAAATGTCTATTGAGGTCCTTGGCCCATCTCTTAAGTGGGTTGTTGGTTTTGTTTTTGTGGAGTTTCTTGATCTCTTTGTAGATTCTGGTTATTAACCCTTTATCTGTTGCATAGTTTGCAAATATTTTTTCCCATTCTGTCGGTTGTCTCTTCACTCTCCTGACTGTTTCTTTTGCAGTACAGAAACTTCTCAATTTGATGCAATCCCAATAGTTGATTTTGGCTTTGACTGCCTGTGCCTCCCGGGTCTTTTCCAGAAATTCTTTGCCTGTGCCAATATCTTGAAGGGTTTCTCCAATGTTCTCTAGTAACTTGATGGTGTCAGGTCGCAGATTTAGGTCTTTAATCCATGTTGAGTGGATTTTTGTGTAAGGTGTAAGGTAGGGGTCTTGCTTCATGCTTCTGCACGTGGAAATCCAATTTTCCCAGCACCATTTATCGGGGAGATTACTGATGCCATAGACAGGAGTGTCAATTGGTAAAGTCAACAACAGGAGTCACTGTGCACTTACTCCTCATGTAGGATCTCTATCCTTAATGTGCTGTACATTGAGATTTAATGCTATAACGAGTACTCAAACAATATATTTCACTTTGTGTTTCTATGGGGGTGCAAACTGTTGAAATCCTTACTTAATGCATACTAAACTGATCCTCTGTAGTTACAAAAAAAATAAAATAAAAAAGGAATTATCAATTCCCAACTTGACTCTCACTGGGATTAAACATGACAATAGGTCTGCTCTGATTTCATCATCATTTAAAAAAATCATCTATTATTTTTCACTTTATGTTTCTGTGTGGGAGCAAACTGTTGAAATCCATACTTAATGTATACTAAGCTGATCTTCTGTATATTAAGATAATCGAAAATGAATCATGATGTGAATGGAAGGGGAGAGGGAGTGGGAAAGGGGAGGGTTGTGGGTGGGAGGGACGGTATGGGGGGGAAGCCATTGTAATCCATAAGTCGTACTTTGGAAAATTATATGCATTAAATAAAAGTTAAAAAAAAAAGATTTATTTATTTATATGAGAGGCAGTGATTCAGGCAGAGGCAGAGAGAGAGAGAGAGGGAAAGAGAGAGGTCTTTCATCTGCTGGTTCACTCCCCAAAAGCTGCGATGGCAGAAGCTGGGATGATCTGAAGCCAGGAGCTTCTTCTTCCAGGACTCCAATGTGGGTGCAGGGGCCCAAGGGCATCTTCTACTGCTTTCCCAGGCCACAGTAGAGAGCTGAATTGAAGTGGAGCATCTGGGACACGAACCTAGGCCATATGGGGTACTGGCACTACAGAAGGCAGGTTTACATGCTATAGCACAGTGCTGGTCCCTTGGGCAAATTTTAACATGTGTTTTATTTTCCTTATCTTTCCAAGGAAAATCTGTGATGTCTACTAGTCGGTGTACCATTAAAATGAAATCATACATTGTACCTTTTTTTTAAAGGATTTATTTATTTATTTGAAAGTCAGAGTTACACAGAGAGAAGGAGAGGCAGAGAGAGAGAAAGGTCTTCCATCCACTGGTTCACTCCCCAGTTGGCCACAATGGCCTGACCTGCACCAATCTGAAGCCAGGAGCCAAGAACCAGGAGCCAAGAGCTTCTTCCCATCTCCCACCAGGGTGCAGGGGTCCAAGGACTTGGACCATCTTGTACTGCTTTCCCAGGCTATAGCAGAGAGCCAGTTAGGAAGTGGCGCAGCTGGGACGCGAACCAGCGCCCATGTGGGATGCCGGCACTGCAGGCGGTGGCTTTACTGGCTACACCACAGCGCCAGCCCCTAGGTTGTACATTTAAAATAAATTAAGGAATATAGTGAAGTTGGCACTGATTAAGAAGCTCCAGTGACAATCTTTCCACAGATTTGCCAGGGGAACAGCTACACATACTCCAATTTTTCCTCATAAGAGTTACAGAGGCCAGGCCCTGGACCTGCTCCAGCATCATGCGAGAACAGGTGTCCTGATGCCACAGACTAGTTTTGGCTCTCTCCCCCAAGCCTGCACAGGGCCTAGTGATTGTGAGGCCCGGATTAACCCATGCAGGAACTGTCTTATTAGCTGGGGAGCTGCCGTTATCACCTTTCCTACATCCTGAAACGGAGAGCAAGAAATCCCATAAGTGTTTTGGAGTTAAGCTATAGACTGATGCATCGAGCAGTCTCATATGAGAGCAATCTCAGATGGTGAAGCTTCGGTACACACTACAGTGCCCAGTGGCGTTCCATGTTTTCATTCCCCACCAGATACCTACCACCGCCATTATCAGCAGTGGCTGAGAGGTGCAATATCATGCAGTGACCCCACCTCACAGCAGACAGACCACAGCTCACCTTAGTAGTAGAACATCTTGCTTAGAATTTTGAGGATAGCTACTAACGAAGTCAGATTACAAAAAACAGTCCTTCAACACAGAGGATGATATACTCCACATTCCAGAGAATTGTGACCTCACTTAAAGAACAAAATTAGGGGCCAGAATCCAACCTTTAAGAATTGATATTTCCAAATAATCAGATGAAAATTTCAAAATAGCTGTTTTAAGAAAAATACATGAAATGAATGAGAAGACAAAGGGGATCCAATACTATGAGAGATTTGGTAGAGATGTGCAAATAACTAAGCAAATCAAAACATGATATATCAAAACATGATATAAGGCATCAAAACCAAAATAGGCCCGCTGCAGCTCACTAGGCTAATCCTCCGCCTTGCGGCGCCAGCACACCGGGTTCTAGTCCAGGTCGGGGCGCCGGATTCTGTCTCGCTTGCCCCTCTTCCAGGCCAGCTCTCTGCTGTGGCCCGGGAGTGCAGTGGAGGATGGCCCAAGTCCTTG